GCTTATGCACAAGGAGGTATAGAAATGGACACCATCCAATCAATTGGACACTACACCACGGGGTGACTTTGAACTGGCCCCACCTGAAACAAGGCATAGTGGCATTGTGTGGTGGGGCTGTGAAATTGCAAGATGTTTCTAGGTGACTTGTCAACTGTAAGAGTTTCTTGTCATACAAGAATCCTCTATTGTATTAACAAAGCAACCTATCACTATCCCTACATATTTGAAAAACATTAAAACATATATTAAAAATAACTACATCACTTACACTCTAGTTTCAAGAGTGCAATATACAAAGCCTGAAGAATTACAAAATAGAAGAAATTACAAAAAATATGTCATATGTTAAAAATGTAAGAAGTACGCACATTGCTCAGCCCAAACTGAAACATGAACAAGCAGTTGGGATCAGGTTAAATTAAAAAGAACAAAATAAAAACCCTGAACAGGCATAGCCAGGTTCACTAATATATTAACCCTGACCAGGGTCCAGTTTGAACTAGCTTAACAATAAAACATCCCTAGTTAATTAGAAAGAAAAAGTAACAACCACGTTCAAGCACGATGAGATTAGTTAAATACCTACATCTATTCGTGTAAGAAAGAAAAAGACACACAGAATTATTATCATCAACTTTTAGCAACATCTACTTTCTAAAAAACCCCTTTTCCTTTACATCTGTTCTTTTGAGAAAATTTATTGTTAAATACTCTAGAAACCACTAAATAGTTTTTACTTTAGTTTTAACTCCTTGTTCTCGATCAGATTTCTCTTTCTTCCTCGGTTATCTTTTCCCTCCCCAAAACTTTAGGACTTTTAAAGATCATTTAACACATCGTTGTTTGGCTAAAAGTTCTCAATCTACGTTAAAAACTTCTTTTGATAAAAACCTTGTTTTATCAAACTAACGCTAAAATGTCACCCAAGAATTTCATATTTTAGTACGTATTTACCTTGGCAGGTCTTTAAGTGATTGCATTCACTGACATACTGGCAGCGGTCTCCATCCCGCACCATAGACAGCTACAACTAACAATTGTAGTCTATTACTTTTGAAAGAAGTTTTTACTCTACAAAGGATTGAAAATTAATTCCTCTCCAGTTTAGAATCACCTCATAAACATGAAGAAATACATTTCGTAAAGTACAATTCATCTCTAGAATCGTCATCTTACCGTTAATTTAGAGTCTCAAGCTGACATGACTGACACGTGAGGGAGACCATGTGGCCCTCACCCATGCCGTCACCTAGCCTTGACATAAAAAAAGTGAGCACATTGGCGTAGTGTGGTTTACCAGCTGATCAGTAGGCAGATCAGGTTTGTCTGAGACCGACCTGTCATCCAGGTCCTCAGCATCTGAAAGAGCCTGGATGACCGGAATCCAAGTTAATCAGTTCTAACTCTTTTACACACTCAAAACCCCTGCAGTCTACATAATCAATCAAGTTCCACTGTACTACCAACGAGTTGATTGAGAGGTTTTTTTCAAGACTTGAGTTTCTACCACCCATCAACCACCACCACCATTAAACCCAAGACATCCTTAAAAACAATCAATTGAACCGCCTCTGTTGATTACCACTTTCTCTTTTTCTTTACCCAACAACCCTCAAGCAATTCATCATACTTCAAGAATTTTATTTTTCAATTGATTCACCAACTCATCAACACCATTCTTCATCCATCATTCAACTTACCAAGTTCAAAACAATCAACTGTTTCTTCCATTCTTCCAGCTACCTCTCTTCTTTCACTCCCAAATACTCCTTTCAACAGTCAATCACATCCTTATCATCACATCCACTAAATGCTTACCAAACTCCCTCGCTCTTTGACTGAGTAGATCCAAATTTTCTAAATCACTTTCAACTTTCCTCTTCATCATGGTTGGATTGAGGTAAAGCTTGGATTCATCAAGGACAAAATCAAAAAAGAGCACACTCAGATCAATCATTTATCTCAAGGGATCAATCATTCATTTGTAAGTTTGTTTTTTTCTCCTTTCTCTCAAACAATCCATTTCAACACTATTACTAATATAACATATGTGTTTGTGTTAGTTTCTGCTTATCTCAAAATTAGATAGGCTCATTGTTCCTTTTGGAACAGTATCAATTGTTCATATCAAAATCAAACCGGATACAATGTTCATCTTGAAATATGATTGATTGGTTATCTCAAAGAACTGATTGTGTATCTCAGTTGAATCACTTTTCATTTATAAGTTTTTTAATGTCTCCATTCTCTCAAATCACCTCCAATTTGGATATCTTTGCTTGATCTGCACATTGTCTCAATCAAGCCTTTTGTTTCTCTTGATTCTTTGGTCTTTCTCAATTCTTTCTCAATTCTTTTCTCTTGTTTCTCTTGTTTCTCTTGTTTGTCTCAATTCTTTTGTTTGTCTTGATTCTCTTGTTTTTCTCAATTCCCTTGTTTTGCTTAGTTTTTTTAGTGTGATCAACTGTTTTCAAGTCTCCTGTTGTTACACTATATATAGCAAAAAACACCAATGCAAATGTAATGTGATATGCCTGAGCCACATCAAGAAATTGAGTGTGATTAGTATCAGCGGAACCCTCATGGGGCTGGGTTAGGGCTCAAATAGGGTGAACCTGACCAGATATATACCTCTTCCCTACCCTATGAATGTGTGTGATGGCTTGCCTGTTCATCAGGCAAGCCTTCTCACCTGGTTATAGTGCGAGTCACTCCACCTGTTCATCAAGTGAGCAGGCACCCAATGAACAGGTGAGCCATCACCCTGTGGCCACAAGGTCATGTCAGGTGATGGGCATGCTGGCATCCATGAGTAGCCAGTAGATGTGGCATTGTGTGACCAGCCAGGGATTTTTTGGCAGAGTCAGATTCCACCTGATCTTCATGTGCCAGCTGCCCCGTGGTGTAGTCGACAGAAGTGTTCAAAACCTACATTTGCACTCACCCAATATTGAACTTCAATAAACCTCAACACATCACTCAAGTAGCCAGTTTTGTCATAGGAGAACAAGTCAAGTTTTCTGGAGCTGGTCTAGTATTCCTCCCAAATTAAATCAAATTCATTCAAATTCCTGTAAAGTTCAAACACTGTTTAAGCTATACAGTTCAGCTGGCATCTTTCTCTCATTCTTCTTCTCCACAGGTGTGGGCCACTACAAAGTGACAACACAGGACCATGTCATACCCCTATGGAGGGTAGTAACCCAAATACGTACCATTTCAATCCCTGTGGAGTTAAATTTCATGCAATTATACACAGCTTGCTTTGATTCTGCCCTTTTCCGCACCTGCGTTTCTGCCCTCTGACAGTCTACCATACAAACAAGATCCTCTTAGAGGTATGGGTGAAGCCGGGAATGAATTTAGCTGTTTGGCAGGAGTGGGAATCCACAGAAGTCAAAAGGGACTTTTTTGGATTACTACCCTCGATAGGGGCATTCTGGGGTCCTGAAAACACCCATTTGACTAGATTAGTTGTGGGCAACATTGAGAAAGTCTCAGAGCGTGTTCACTTACACCACAAGGACATGCTGATGTCCTAGGGACGTCAGGATTTTTTGCAGGGGAAGGGATATCCTGACAAAACTGATCCAAGGAGCCTGGGTCAGAATCAAAATTTGGGACATCCCACGGGCTTCCAAGGGTGTTCTTATTGAAATGTAGGCCCAGCCAGGCATCCTGAGTGTGTGCTGTGGACGTCTGCGCGCACTGACTTCCAGGGGACAGCCCAAATGGGGGTGCTGACAGAAGCATACAATCTCGGACAATCCCAATGTCCTTCTGCTCAAAAGTGTCTTTGTGGTGTAAGCACTTTCTGACCAGAAATCACTTTTTACAAAGGGTGGAAATCACAGAATGTGAAATGTGTCTAACTTGTTATTTACATGCATCCTGTACATTACAGAATGCTTTTAAATATTGCTTTTCAAGTCACTACTGTAGAGAGGCAAACGTGCTAGAGAAGCTAGTGTTAGTTTAGTTCTAGCAAAACAACAAATAGTGTGACAATTGCAATATAAAAGAGAAAGATAGAGCTACCTAGAAGTGTTAGTTTAGTTCTAGCAAAACAACAAATAGTGTGACAAGAGAAAAATCTAACAAGCAGTAGGTATGAAACATCTTTTATATGAAACATGTTTCACTTGGCGTTACAACTATGATGTGACAGAAAAAGAGAAACCCTGGTCCAGTTCACAATCTTCCAGGACATTCACAAACACTCCATCTAGTCCAAACCGAAAGAAGGTGAGCTATAGGCTGGGTGCCTAGCCATCTTCGATGCCTGGCCAGCTTAGCCATAACAACTACAATTGGATGACAGCAAGTTTTTTATTTTTGACTCTTTCTACTCTTTCTGACTTCTTCACAAATTGGGACAAGTCCCTGTTCACCAAACAGAAGGTCATAAACCCATCCAAACCCATCCCATAACCTCTGAAACCATACAACACATACCACCTCTCACCTTAATGGACTTTACCATTCATCTCACTCTCAATCATCTTCCAAACTTAACTAAGTCCCCCCTTGAGCTGTACCAGCCCACTCAAAGGAGGGACTTACGAGTAAAGTGAAATTCCTGGCGTGAGATCGGACGGTCCTTTGGCCAAAAAACTCAGGAGCTCACTCACCACGCCCCTCACAAATAATGACAGGCAAGTGCAATAATGAAAAATACGCGCGTAGGCTGCGCCTCCAATTCCCTGTTCTCAGATTCCAAAAATCTTGAACGGCTCAGAAACAATCTCACAAATAACAGTTGGGGCCATTTCGGGGCCACAGTTACGATTCTTCATTTCAAATGCTGCGCAAATGACCAAACAAAAAAACCTTAAGATCAAACAGCACTTTTGCTGAGCCAGGGGCTTAACCAGAATGCATTTCCTCATGCATCTCTCCGTATGCTAGGACCCCTGCAACAAAGACGGTGTCAGCGCCTGAAATATACGTGATTGACGGCGGTCATACACACCTGATGGCCTAATCCGTAGTGAGATTTAATGAGGCCACTGCGGACTCGGCGGTGGCACATAGATTTCAAGGTCTTCCATCTGACGAGAAGCAGGAGCACACATAGTTAGTATTTGTGATAACAGGAAAGAGATAGTTTGGAAGCACATACCTCCTTGTAAATGAACAACTTCCATACCGCTTCGCCGTTCCCAGCCGAGTAGATCATCCCTTTGATCTTTTGGAGGAGCGTCAGGATCCACCCGCGGTCATCGGTGCCGTTGGCGAGCCATTCAGTACGATGAGGGGCCAGCTCAATGTGATTGGGCTCGAGAAGTGCCAACAAGTACCCCAAGACTGTCAACTTCTTATGTTTGATGAACTTGCATATGTCCACGATCTTCTCAACACCGGTACCCTCCTTGAAAGTTGGAAAAAAATCCCAGTTGGAAGCTTGGTTTGATAAATGCACCAACGCCGGAATGGTCAGGCCTTCCGCGTCCATGACATGCTTGACCCTTAAAAGCGATTGGGTAGTGAAGCGAGTTAATTTGGGGCTGGGTTCCCCCATGTCGCCGGGAAGAGAGTGAGACATGCTATCGACTAATAGTTGGTGATAGGACTGTGGAATGGTGATGGGGGCCTCCTATATATATAGACACACTCTTACTCACTCAAACGCGTACGCTGAAAGGACACACGCGCCAGTTTTGGGGATAGGTTTCACCCCCACCAAGACGGTGTAAAATCACGCTAACAATGAACGTGAGCAATGGCTCTGGCCCAATCCGGCCTCTCGGTCCAAACCCTCGCTCTAACAATGTTGTTGAGGTATGGCACTAGTCCAATCCTCGCACTCGGGATGGATAGAAACCCCCAAAGGTGAAACAGCGGTGCACCAGGAGCCCCAAGATCTAGCAAGGATCAAGGATACGAGTGAAAGACGTTGTAACAACATATACACCTGGCCCCCGGCTCACGCCGGCTCGCCCTTTGAAACATATCACGCTGGTAGGTGGGCGGCTCATTTCGTTCTGGTTCTGGCCAGGGCACATGGTCCCTCACGCTCAATGCGGCACCATGTCTGGCACCAGCCTGAACGCCTGGTGTGTAATAGATCATGTTGTCAAAGTGTCCTCCGTGAGGGGCTTGCGCGGAGCTTGTTTCGTGATTGTTAATAGCGTTCAATGTTTCGCTTCTGCGCAGAATGGACACTCAATCATATAGCCAAGTTATATGGACCAACATTAGAACAGAAGCCTTGGTTATCAGTGCCTACACGACTTGGACGTGTGATACATCTTTCCTTCAGGGCGACCATAGTCACCTAATGCCCAGCATGGCCACCAGCGTTCCTTCGACTGTGTCTCGCACTTTGCTCATCTGTGAATACATGAACACCCTGAATGGCTTTACCCCTCGAGAGTTCATGTGGACGTTCTTATCTTCCACTCATCCAGACCTCATTTATCGTCGGCGCTTGATGAAGACTGGCTTAGGTACCAGGCAAACGCGTTCAATCTTCAAGAACCTGGGCAAATTGACTTCGTCGTGCCCACAAGGCGCGGCGGATTGGGAACAATTGATATTAGAGGATGTCAGTTTTTCACGTGGTCAATCGGTTTCAACGGACAACGTACCTATGACCAATTTGTTTTCTTGGTTTTGTGACTTATGACTTCAGGCCTCTGAGAATGTCAACGCCCAGGACGTCCCACGTGGAGAATTTCCTAGCGGCCCCTATGTCAGTTCGAAAAAGATCACACCTGACTATTTTACAGAGGCTGCTGAAGCACACCGCGAGAGTCAAATACGTACCGGCATGAATTTCCTTCACCAGTTGATTCACCGTAAGCTTGCGTCGGGAATGAGGGTTAAAGACATCCACCACGACCCAGGCGAGGACGAAGATCCCAGCGAAGACCCCTCACAACCCGGTTCAATGACGCACGAAGGCCAGCCAGAAGGATCTACGATTGAAGGCGCGTTAGATGAGGCCAAAGTGCTATCTCTAGAGAACATGGTCTATGTAAAACCCACTGCAGCGGACCTGGAAACCCACAAACTTGCCACGGTGAGTGGGCCAATACAATGTTTTGGCTCATTGACGTGTTAAACTGATGGGTGCAAACCTTCAGATCCCCGTGATGGTTTGTTCCATGATTGCGATGGCGTGTAATCGGCGTGCCAATGCAATTCCCCTCGCGAATGGAATCATAACGTTAGCTGCCGGGGTCACCTGTCGAACAAATGAATGGCTGTATGCATTAGGTTTGACAACTTCCAGATGGACGATCCTTCAGGCATTGGAACACTTGCGGGTGGTTCAAGAACACCGAATGATGGAAATATTTAAAATAAATCACAAATTATTACCGCTGTTATGCTATGAAAATGTTGACATACATTTAAGAATACACAATACACGTATCGAGACTTCATCTTGGCTGCTCCATGGTACTTGGGGGTTTTTCAAAGTCATTGAGGCATGTGTATTGGCCAAATGTCCCGAGGAAGTGGTGAATCTCGCATCGTTCTTGGACTCCATGGCCTCCGCTCAAAAAAAACCGGTGCTCATGTCGGCATTTGCACCGAAACCTGACGAACTCGCTCACTGGGTGTCAGTCATTAAAAGCCAACTCGCTTCAGCGCTTAAAGAATATGTGGAACACTTGCCAGGAGCGCCTGCGCGGTCGGGCCTGCCGCCACTCGTATGCCAACCTCCGGCAATTGACCCAATCGCGTTACACAAACCCAATATTCACTTTCTAAGGATGGTCGACGCGCCCGACTCTTCAGCTGAGGGTGTGGGGCGCGTGTTTGATGCTATCAAAAGTCAGATCGGGGTGTCTTCGGAGGATTTAGCCGAGAAGCTGTTGATTGCTGGTGGTGACGTCGGCTCAAATATGTTACTGGAAAGTTTGCGAGTGAAGCAATACCCGCCCATTGATCACATCGAAGGGTTGGAGTCAATCCTGTCGGTGTTTGGCGGAGCCCACACAACGTGGAACATCGCGAAGAACCTTTGGGCGCTCCATTGGGGTCGAACAGATAAAGGCGAGGATTCAGGGGTATGGAGGACCTCTTTCGCACTCGGTGGGGATTACAAGAAACCTGTCGCGTTGCAAGACTTTAACTCGATAATGCGTGAGATGCGGATAGTGCACAAGGCCAATCTGATCTTTATAATCAAGTCAGTACGGATTCGGGCATGTAACCTACCAAATAAGAAACTTTGCTTACTCACCTATGAGAGACAGGCAAGTCTTCCTCGAGATGCAGCAGTCCGAAGGAGGCATTGACCTTTCGAAACCGGAGGGATGTACGCGCTTGTTAGACCGCGTGTGGGCTCAATACTTTGACCATTCCGTGGTTGAGGAAGCGAGCCAAGCCTTGTATCATGGGCACTATAACTTTCTATTGCGATTGCGAGACTTCGCGACGGTTGTGGAAGCGCACGACGCAACGCGCGCGGGCGATATCGGGCGGCTTATGTTGATGTGGAAGAGATGGGCCGTAATGGCCCAAGGTATCACCGGACTTTCGCACTACGCCAGGCATATCCCCCGATTGGTACTGTTGTTGGAAGAGGACCTGCCTCCGCCCCTTGCGCATGCAATCAAGCACGCGCTCCTGATCCCTTCAAACGAGCGAGAAGGCCATTGGTTAGCCCTCGATGAATACTTGGAGGTTCATATCTGTTGGCTGAAGAGCCATTATAACAATACGGTGAGGGTGTTTCTAATCCATCATCACTAGGAGGGTCTGAATCGAGCTGACCCCTCGGACTATACCAGGGCCATGGCACAGACATTGAACGCCTGATCTATCGGCTTTCAAACAATGTACCCTTAGTGAGTTAAATAAGAGTTTTCGTTTCTTCATAGCGAGACATGGCTGAGTAACATAAACACCCGTGTAATCTCCCAGTTGCGGAGGCTGATGCAACTGCTGAAAGCGCTGGCGGGACACAAAATCATCTACCAGCCTAATCTCCACACAATTTCCAAACCCACGTTGGAGAGCTTCCTGAGCTATGCGGCCGCGCACTTGGTTGCGAAACCAACGACTCGGTCACCGGCCATTTTGCCAAACGTCTGGCGGGTAGGTCACAGGAACATGATCAAGATGATCTTGGTGGACAAAGACGAGGGTCAATCATCGCGTTTCCGGTGGGGGTCTTCGAATGTTATGGCCACATGGGACAATGAGGAAGAGAATGAGCAAGACAATGTCAATGATGAATCTTAGGGCAAACTATATATGCACATGTTAATGAACAAACGAGACCGCAAGTCTGTGGTAACGCACCTCAGTGAACGCCAATCTTTTTGGAGGGACGGCCGCGCCATTGTCCCCAGCAGGACCAGGCGCCGTGCGCTTCAGAGAAGGAACCTGCCTCCCTTTCCCTGTAGCATCACGCTTTGCCAGTAGCTCCGCTGCCTTTTGAGCCTTAGCTGCGACCGCGAGCTCCCTGGCCTCCTTCTTGCGTTCGGCTGCCTGGCTCTTTTCCGATGCACACTGTGACCGTTCAGCTTCCTTCCTTTGTGCCGCTTGGAGTCTCTCCAAATCGCGTGATTCCTTGAGCGCGCGTTTCTCGGCTTCCAAACGAGCTTTGGCTATGTGCGCTCCTTCGACAGATAGCGGCGCAGATGTGTGTGAGGCGGCCCGGTTCGCCGCCTCCCTTCTTCTGCAAGCCGTGGCCAGTATGGACTCCGTGGGCTGTTCGGACTGCCAGACCTCAAAAGCCTCAAATAGGCATTTGAATTGGCCAGTGATTGATTCACCAGCCAGGATAACCCCAAAGTCACTCGGTTGGCTGATGATGTCCACATTTTTTGCAATATCCCAAGCAAGATCACGCCCAAAAAAATCTCGAGGGCCCATGTCGGAGATCGAAGGGAACGCCTGGTTGAATAGCCGCGTGAACGCGCGGTCCAAATGAGTTACTAGCGATTCTAAGACCGGTGACTGGAGGATTTCGTCATCAGGCACACACCACTGGGCCATCAACCGCCTTTGAGCTGGCAGAGGTGAAGGCACAACGGGTAAGTCTGTAACCAGACGTTGTAACTGTTCTACCCCCATCTGCAGGACTTGATCAAAATTCGCTTGTGTGATGGCGGGTTGGGCCAGCCAGAGCGCCCCCGCCTCTGCAGGTTTGCAATTCGAGCAATCACAAACTGACATTTTTGAATCGAGTTGGTGAGCCAGTTCTTCCACCACTGCAGGGTCACCGGCGTCGAGAGGGATGTAGCCCAATCTACAAGTGCATATCATCAATCAACTTGACACGGTCTCTCCCAGTCCAACCGTGAACACGCTTACCGAAGGTCAACGGCCAAAGCCACACGTAAGCAGACGGGGGTTATCGCCAAAGCGTCCATACGGTCGTCATCCGACATGTCGGTCGGCGTTCGGAAGTCAGTAATCGAGTTTTTCCCATTCGCGCGCTGGTGTTCAACTAGGAGTATTCCAAGGCCTCGACGTTTATCTCGGCCGCATTGCCCCGACATTTGAATAAAGTTACAAGGGTCCTGACAACCCACCACTATGACGCGACGCACTCTGTGCCAGTTCTGGCCTAGCCCGAGGGCTAGTGTACAGCACAAAACCGCGAGGGTGCCGGCGACGTACGCAGCCACCGCGGCGAGCTTAGTTTTGGGCCCGGTGGTCGCATGGTATCGACATGCAAATGAGGATTGGCCATTGGCGACCTCGTTCGGTAAGCCTCGCGCCAAGCAAATTAAAACCAGATATTCCAACGTCTGGTTTTGGGTTCCGCAGTATATCAAGGTCGGGGGTAGGGCGTCATGCGAAACCACCAGGTGATGCGCAAACACACCGCGCAGCGAAGCCTTTAATGGACGCTTGAAAGCCCTACGGATGATGCGTATCTCCGGACGTGTCAGCTCAGCTCGTCGGAACCTAACATCCCTTTGGTCCAGCTTGAGGTTCGCTAGGATCGCGTGGATGGCCTGCGGCGTGCAGGTCGCCGACATCAAGATCAGTGGCACCTTGTCGGAAGCAAGGAACCGCCGTGCCAAGTCGCTGTACGAAGGGCGGAAAACCCCGTTATCAGACACACAAACGTGACTCGCAAGCCTTTTGGCGTGCCCGCTAGCAACTAGTCCCCAAGTGTACACCATGTGTGCCTCATCGACCACGTTGAGAATCAATCTCGCCTGGAACCAAGGGTCACTCCACATCCTGTCGAAAACGCTCGAGGTCAACGCTACCTCGGGGCTCTGTGAATAGAATTCAAACGCGTTGTCAACTACGCTGTATCTCGTAAACAAGCCTCTGAACCGCGGTGCGTAAGGCGACAGACCAACGTACCACGTAAACAAAGGAGGCAAGGCCTTGCAAAATGCCCTCGCAGACCTCTGGCGTACAGTTCCCGGCGGTCAAATTGACCGCCAATAGTTGCACCCCAGCCTTTTTGCTAACCTGTCGCAGGGCAGCAACCATCGCCAGTGGCACAAGAGGATCAGTCTTGATTATTTGGCCAAAACGTCCTAATGATATATTTACCTGATCGTCACCAAGAGATTCCAAGGGGTTGATGCAGAGTACAATCGGGGCAAACTGAGGATCGTGGGCATGAAAGAACATTTCTGGCACACGACTTTTGCCGAATCCGGTGCCCGCAAGGAGAAACGTGGTGCGTCCGTTCATTAAGTCAACCACCGAATCAAGCTGCTCAAGGCGTGCAGGGTAGCCATGTTTTGATTGAAACTGGTTCCGAACCCCGTCTGCCTGTGTCGCCTCGTCAACATTGAGATATTCGTCTCTTAGTGGAGGACGCGCTGTGAGGGACTTGGGTTGCCGTGTGGTTTGACTGAGAGACTCCAAGTTAGCGGCGATTCCGCTTTGACTCCTTCGCAGCGGGGGCATGTGTGGGTGTATTGGGATTCCTTCAAGGTAGGTGCCTCGGAATGTTTGAGTGAGCAAGTGGTATTAACCAACGACTGATAAAGTGGTATTATGGAAAGTGGTGATATGGAAAGTAACGACTGACTTCCTTCGCTCCAAACTGCATTTTGGAGCAAAGGATTTGGCGGTATTGTCAGACAGATTTGGGTTTTCGCGCTGAATTCCATGTTTTAATCGCCGCAGTCGTCTACAGTGCTCTCGAAGGCCCCGAAATGGCCCCAACTGTTATTTGTGAGATTGTTTCTGAGCCGTTCAAGATTTTTGGAATCTGAGAACGGGGAATTGGAGGCACAGCCTACGCGCGTATTTTTCATTATTGCCCTTGCCTGTCATTATTTGTGAGGGGCGTGGTGAGTGAGCTCCTGAGTTTTTTGGCCAAAGGACCGTCCGATCTCACGCCAGGAATTTCACTTTACTCGTAAGTCCCTCCTTTGAGTGGGCTGGTACAGCTCAAGGGGGGACTTAGTTAAGTTTGATCATCTTCCATCTCTTTTATCTCACTGTACCACCCCTGTGGAAATTTTGTGAAGATAGCCAGTAAACTGCCGCCCTTGTTGGATAGCTCCCCCCTGAGGATAAAGATAGCTTAGAGATAATCCTCAACATTACAATCTTTAGGATAATGGGGCAATAGACTTCAGAAGTTCTACAGGTCAAAGTGTACACGTAAGTTTGCCAAAGACATCCTCAATACGAGCCCGCAAGACAATGGTTGTTGCCCGCGATCGGGCGCTGCACTGTTACAGTTGGCTATATCATCTCGTAGTGCCTACCTTACAACACTGGCTCTCGGACAACCTGGCAAACTTCGCTCAAGTGAAAATGTAGGTGAGAAAGTAACACAGGAGTGCGGTTGACATATGGGGACCGGTTTGCGCCCATAAGACTCGAGTTCACATTACTAGGGCCATAAGGTTGTTACATTGCATACGATAAATGAATCAAGGTGCAAGAAGGGTAGTGAGGAACTTTTCACCGGCAGGGGTCATCTTGTCAGTGTGCTTCTTGGGTTGAGGACCAGCGGCAGCAGCCTTGAGGTTCTTGGCTTGCTTCAAGGTCTCGTTGCGGATGGCGACCCTAGCGTAAGGGTTAAGACGGAAGAGAACGGCTCGGTTCTTGAGGGGGTTCTTCTTCTGGGTAAATGGTCGCCGAATGCGGGTTGGCCCAGCTGGCTTGAGAACAGCTCGGACTTCGTCCTGCATGAACCAAATGTATAAGCACAATGAAAATGACTCAAGACAGAATGACTTACAGAGTTGATGACACGTGTGATGTCGGCATTACCGACTTTGGAGATAGGCAGACTGTGGGGGAGGCAGCCAAGGTCAGCATCTGAGGGAGAGGCAGATCAAGTTCAAGGAAGACTAACGAGTAACCGCTTTTGAGTGCGGATGGCTTGTCGTAGGTGCCGTAGAGGTCATCGAGCTGAGCAAAGGCACTAGCGGTCCAGATACAGAAACGACCGATGTGACCACCGGGGGCGAGTTGGAGGAGATTCAGGCGATGAACGGAGATGATTTCAACACCGGGAAGATTGCGGAATGCACGAGTGATACCCTTGTCTTCGTTGTAGATGATGAGAGGACCACGACGTTGTCGGTAACGGCGGCCACGCATCTTACCCTTACCAGCGCGCATAGTTCGCGAGGATGAGACTTTGAGAACGTCGGGTTGAGCAGCCAAAGCCTTGAGTACATTGGCAGCGTCACGAGTCTTTTGAAGGGATTCGATCTCGTCAGACACAACCAAGGGAATTTCTTGAACCTTTTCGATTCGGTGACCTCGAGCAAGCACCAAGGAGGGGACAGCAGTGGCCGCGATGGCAGAAACGGTAGCATAACGACGTTGCTTGAGGTTCGTCTTCACATGCCACTTGCGCCAGATTTTGGTTGGCGCGAACATACGACCACCTCGACACATGTTACCGAAGGCAGCCTTCGTAGAACAGAGCGAGCGTAAACAACGGAGAAAGAGTGGCCTGAAGGGTGAGATGTGAGCTCACCTGACCGGATCGGTGCGTACCACCCCCTCCGACACGGGGGATACGAGCAACTGCACGACCAGTTCCCCATGACTCTGCTGAGGTTTGTTCACCAGCCTTGGATGATACGGCATAAGGTTGACGGTTGTTCTTGGCCAGGTTCTTGTGAATCGCAGCAATGACGTCGTTCCTGATGGGGACAGTGAAGACGGCCGGTAGGGGTACGGTGCCGGATGAGGCGCCAGCAGGAGAGCGGACATTGACAACCTGTTAAAGCGAATCGAGTTGAGAATCGACAATGAGGGATGTGATAAGTTGTGTGCACAGAGGTCAAATGACGGCAGAAAGCTTACAGGTCGAGAGGCCATCTTGAGGAAACGGATCAGTGGTCGAAAAGGGGGGTCTTACCTTGAGGGGCAGAGGGGAGAGCGCGCTAGTTGGGCGGTGATGGATCACGGTACACTGGGTGAGGTGATATCATCATTTAAAACCTATTTGGTGCCAAACCTTCGCCAAATTTTAGCTCGCAAAGTCCTTAGGTCTACGGGGATCGGGCTTCGGGGTCCCACATTAGTATTCACACACCCTAGACATGTCATCCATCTTGTTGCCATCCATCAAGGCCACCATATGTTCCGAATTGTATAATCAAGTGGCAAGACTGGCAAGAGTTGATGAAGTGCAAGCCTCACCTTCACAAAGTCCATTAGCAGGCAGTTTTCGAAAAAGGTAGCAAAAAGACCGTTTATGTAGGTATATGTGTAGTAACAGAAATGATGAATATGTTGTACACGAAGGTCATAAACTTTGTCTTGAATGCAAAATTCTGGAGGAAACGGTCTTGCACGTGACTCCTCAAACAATGCTCTTGTTTTTCATGCTCGATCCAAACTTTGGGAATACTGTGCATCTTCTTATCAGAATAAAATCAATCAACTTTGACAGTCATGTTGTTTTCTTATTGTCTTATTACAACATTGTTTTTCTGAGATACAACTGTCTTCTTCTATGCTCAACATCAGAAGTTTTCTCACTTATCACATCGATGCTGTGTCCATAATCTGTTGGTTTGCTTTACTCCTATATTTGAATTGTCTAGGTGGCTCTTCTTTCAAACAGTCTTGATCTACTGTTTCTCATACCCTTAGACTGTGAAAATCTGGCTTATAATTCTTGCTTCTTGGAGTTGCTCGTTTTGAAGTCAATATCTAGCAAGAAAATACATTTCAATCCTGTCTCAAGGCAAGCTATGTTTGATCCATTGGGGTAAGCTCTAGAAAGTACAAAGTATACCATAAAGATGAGGACTACGGCAAAACAGCTACTCAAGTCAGATGCCCTTGCTTTGAAAGAGCTGGCGTGCAAGGTAGTCCTCAAAGTGTCTTGGTGTTGAATTACCAACCACGAGTGGTGATCTTCGACTGAATGCACTAAGCTTGGGGCTTCTCAAGTCTTTGACCCCCTTGGAAAAGTTTGAAATAACCCAAGGATCAGCTTACCAAAATAACAGAGTTCACAAGGACTGCCAATTACCATGGCCCGGACTTCTTGAAAACAGTCTGGAAGTAAGGTAAACAGATTTATAGTGCAGCCAAATTCTACTTAGAGATCTTCCCGATAAGGTGCGATTCAAGTATGATGTCTTTTTAAGCATACATTAATGATACATACTTGATCAACTATTGCTTCGTTAGACATCATGGATGTTACGTAATCTACGCAATCTGGCTCTTGAAGTCGATCCAAGAGTTGCAAATATAACTTTTGTCTTCTGTGTTATTTTTCTAGTCCCTTGGCACCGAAAACTCCAAGGGCTTGTGATTTCCTGGTACCCCGATGTCCTATGACAACATTGTTCAATGGCAAAGGCACAATCTAGAGCAGGCATATATGGCATAGGCCGGGTCAACGTGGTACAAACCACCTCTATCAGATTACACGTAGAGAAAAAGTCGAAGGGCAAATCAATATGAATAAGAGTCGTTGAAATGGACGTGCTTCACTAACATATTTTAGCTGAAATCACTTTTTATGAAAAAATAGTGCATAGTACAAACTTCCTCAGCGTCAACACCAATGGAGCAATAGATACATCAAGCAAATTCACAAAAAGTAAAATATTGATAATTTGTCTAAACATACATTTGCGACAAATCAAGAAATTCTGCACCCAGAATTCAAACTATCCATAAATACTATTGACCCCGGCAACTAACCTTGCGAATATATTTGTTTAGACTCAATTTGAGTATCGCACCACATACTTCCTTCAGAATTGTATGTAACGTGCGCGTCAGGAAGATTGTAAGTTAAATTTTGTGTCATTCCAGTTTGTTGTGGTAATGAACGGTTGAGAGTCACATGAAGGGAGCGACGCGGGTCGTTGGTGCTTGTCACGGCAGCGGCCGCCGGAGCCTGGACACGCGCAATTTTGGGAGGCAATTCCAATTCTTGCCCGGCTGTCCATATTGTGAGTGACTTAACTGGTCCAGCAAAATTTAATCGGCCATAGAGCATCCAGGTCGCCATGGCAAGGATAAAGACGCCCACAAGCATCAAAGGAGTCCACGACCAAGTTTCTGAGGTTGGCACCGTGAAGTCAACATCAGCGACGAGCAATAAGTATGTTTGGGAAGGACAGTAAAGGATCAGACACATACCAACATTAATATATGATTCAGATGGAGAACTGAATATAGCCACTAATGACAGAAGAAACATCAAAGAAATCCACGACAGTGGTCGACTAAAACCACGAAGAGTCCAGGAACTCCTCCCATCCCGGTCGAACCCATCCTTCCCACAAGCAATGTAAAGCCCAACTGGCACAATGTAGCACACCTGTATATCATCATAGACAGCACATTCCGTATTTAATGTTTACTCTACGTCTTCTCACACTAGTGATGAAAATTTGACATACCATGAAGATGGCTGGAAGTGACAATCTCAGGATCCCAGGAAGTATCTTGGTACGGTCTAAGCCAGCCAAAGTCGTCAACATCGACAGCCCTACGAGCAGGGCAGTAGCCCGTCGAGGGATTCGAAATCCAGTGGATGTCTTCCTCCAATATTTTGGAAACGGGATTGCATTATCACGCGCCAAGGCCCAGAGAAATCGACCGGCAGTGAGAAGCTGAGACATATCTTCAAGGAACATCACGATGATTAAGCACACTACAATAAATTGTGCAACCGGCTTGGGACAGTGTAAGAAAATCAGATCGATTATCGGCCAGGTAGAGGGGGTATGATAATGGCCTGGTACCAGAGTCTATGGATTGAGGGGCATTTTCAGTGTCATATGTCTTGAAAAGATCATCGAAAGGCTTACCTTGAAGACAACAACATTCATCACCAATGCGGTCAGATAGCTAAAAATAGTGCTCCAAAAGAAGACGCGCGGGACGACAGCTGCCGCATCTTTCGTCTCCTCCGACAGATGTGCGGCTGGTTCAGATCCCACAGAGAGAGTAGAGTTTGCCGCGCCGTAGATGAAGATCCATAGTTTACTTTTGAAAGAAGTGTGGTTATCAAACCTCGTGAACAGCTGTCGAAAGGGGTGTTGATGCTTTGCGGTGGCTAGCAATGCGATACATATTGCTGCGGACAAGACCAGGTTCAAGACCCCAGCTATTTTCCAAGCCAAAGGAGAGCGCGCCGGTCGGGTACATGCAATCGTACCAGCTATTACCAGCCAACCAGACGTGAGTACGACTCTATGCCATCGAAGAATGATCCAGTAGTAACCTGAAGCGGTAAATAGGCTTGTGAAGACGTCGACTTCAAGGAAACAACAGGTATTCAATCAGTCACATCAATAAGTTTCTTGCTTTCGTATGCGAAGAACGCGACTCACCAAATTGCGCTGCTAGCTGTACCTGCGTGAGTACGTGGGAAACGGTGAGAAAGACAGCAACCTGCCAGCTTAGAAGTTGTGCCCAGTCCCGCAATTTTGGATGGGCTCGAGCAAGCTTGAATGTCCCTGTAAGCAAAGCACCTCAGCTTGAGATAGGTGCGAATGATTGAGGCTCTCGACGGTCACAACTGAACGCACAAGTGAACATAGCTCCTGTTACCGGGTACGCCGACGCCATCTCAGCGAGCACTGCATTTAGGCAACACATGAAAATCCCGGAAAGGATCAAGCCATAAATCATGACGGCCGGACCTCCCCAGCTGATGGCTCCGGTGAGGCCCCAAAACGCTCCTGGAAGAAGTCCAATGTTGATAGACGAGAGCGAAAAAGATGACCAAAAGTCCCAATCACGATATAGTTCTTGCTTGTACCCTAGGAAAGCAAGTTGAGCCTCCGTGTCTCGCTGGGATTGGTTATTGATGATTTTTGCAGGCCGCCGGGTGATGAAAGACTGGGTGAATTGACTCGTGCGACCCTCGGAAGTCATGGAAGTGAGAGAGAGGAATTCGCCACCAGAGTTTGATTGCGGAAAATTGGCAATGGGCGCGGCTCGATGATCAAGTCGGGTAGTATCGTTCAGAGTCTCGAATATACAGTCGGGTGCAGAACGATTGCTGATGGGTGAGGTTATGGCAGGGCTAGCCATGTTGATGAAGTTGAAGGAGAGAGTCGTTCTACAGCGGATTGTCAAAATCTTATTCTGTAGGCTTAGGCTTTAGCTCGACGAGGCAAGAGTGCAAATTTCCTCAAGGTCAACAAGGAGAAGGGTTGAAAAAGATCAAAAGTGGCATTATTTGGCCCCAGGTTTGTTGCGTCGATGGCTTCTTCATATATTCTTTTCTCCCCGAACTCGGTCGGGGGAGTCGGCGGCTGGAGCCATGTCTAGCCATGTACATACAAATGTGTAAAGAGAAAGAAATGTGGCTCATCCAGAGGTATTCAGAAGGAGAAAGCTGAGTACAACAACTGTGTTGCAATACACAATGGTTGATACCCAAGCCCGAAAGCGCGAGAAGGAAAGGGAGCACAAGTGATTCAAATGAACACGATCGGGCAAAACGCGAAGGATGTAAAAGGTGGTAAAAATGCACTCAACTGATGGCGCCAGAAATTATCGGCAGACGTCTGCGTAACGCGGCGTTGATCCCGCAATCGTGATGCTAGGAAATAAAGATATTTAGTGAAGCTCCTCCTTCAGCTGCGATGAAGCTGACAGTCACCGTTGTTAAGGACTTTGATTATATGCTACGCATGGAATCAGGCCTGGCTATATTCATGGTTCAGCCTTCAAGGCTACTTTTGAGACCGGAACTTACGGCTACGAGGGTAGACAAGAGAAAAGATCAGACCTGGTGAACACCGAGAAGAAATGAAAAAGACAAAATTCCGCATCAGAAGATCATGATGCCCACTGGCACAGGAGGATCACCAATTTCTAGATACCGCATGTACTGTTTGCTTAATGATACCTCGATAGCATCATGGATGTGGATACCGGGATGAAAAGTATATGTATGTACATGCATTGGGGCGGGTGACAGACAAAAATGTGTCGAGACTGTGATGACTCATGAGTGCATATGAGGGAAAAAGTTTGTGAACTTCTTAGTTGAAGACAAGTGAGAGAGCAACATACGTGGGCTAAATTGAATTCACCACCCCATAGCATTTGAGAAGTGACTGATGTGGAAGGATCATTTTTTTCTAGGTGTTAACAATCACTTGAAGGGAAAACAAAGAAATCAAGAGAGGAAAAGGAAAAATTAGGTGATTCTCAAGGAATACGTAATATCTAGGAAAAAAGGTTTTTATTTCAACCCGTTTTCTCTCATCAAGAGGTCAACGGACTGCTCTCCAAGGATACAATGTAGCTCCATGAAAGCCCAACAGCGGGGGACATCAGGGTAGACGCCGGTGCCTGCGTGGTTTGTTGCCTTGCTTTGCCCGATCTGGCACTGGGGTGGACTGGTCTTGGACTCTTGACAGCCTTTCCTCAAACCGCAACTCGGGTAGCCAAATTTTTCCAGTACAAATTTTTCCTATGCAAATGGAAACTGAGGCTGCTTATGTTTCATGGTATATACTCTATAAAATACACTCTGACACATTTTTGGTAAAAACAAAGGTTTCGAAGCCATCAAAGTCCCAGATCCATGAAACATAACATGGTGTTGTAAGGTCACATTGACCTGTCCACAAGACTTGAGCACTTCATATTTTGAATGTGTCAAAGGCTCATCGTGTTCAACTCGGAGCGACAAGAGATAATGTTTGGTAGTGTGGTAAATGCAGATAGAACACCAGCAGATTCAGTGAGCGGCTTGGCCATGGAAGTAGCGGAAACCCGACAACTCCCAATCAGCGACCGATTGACGTATTTACATATGATCTGCTTGATGAAATTTCACACACTGATGACATGATGTGGCGTGACGTCTGATCATGCGCGGACTTCAAGTGATGTCGCCAAGATCAATCGAACAGGAGCCAAACATATAAATATATAAATATTGAGGATAGCGTACACCTTACATGCTTCTTTGAAACTACAAATAACCTATCTACAAACGATTTTCTTGATAATACTTGATCAGACCTTCGGTGGAAGAATCATGTCCCTTGACATCACTGGGGTTCGCAAGCTGCGATAATATCCTTTTGGCTAAGACTTTGCCTAGTTCCACCCCCATTTGGTCGAATCTTCATCCATATACAAAGAGAGTACAACAGAGCAGACTCAATCAGCAAGCATATATCGGGAAAATCTCTTAGATCGTGCGAGACCAGCACATACGAATTGATACCCCAAATGGCTCCTTGTACAAAGATCTTGTGCTCATACATCGCTAGCAGAGCTCCTGTTATCTCAACCCAGACATGCAATGTGGTAAGAAAAAATGTTTCATGTGCTTTGCTATGGAAAACCCGTACCTAAGGTTCCAGGAGTGAGTTTCTGAAACATGATCGAATTTGTAGGCTTGTTGCCTTCAAAGACTTTGCTCTTTGTTAAAGCCTCGTTGTTCGCCTCCGGCCCAAGTTCCTAGCCAATTTTATTAACTTCAATTGTGCACGGAGAAGGGAGCTTCGACAAATGTTAAGACAGATATGAAGACTTACTTGTCTTACAGCAGCTTCGTCTTTTCCAAAGGCCAAGGCCTCTGGCTGAGCAAAAAAGTTAGAAAGCAGGATCTCGTGGTGGCGACCCTTACTGATAGGGTTGAGCGTTTCTACCGGGGCCAGGAAGTCACAAGGGATAAGTTTCGTGCCTTGATGAATGAGTTGACTGGATGTATACAATTAGCAAAAGAATCAAAGCCAAGAAAGAAATTCGGAAGGCGTGAGTAAGGAATGAGGCTGTGAAATGTCGATGGAAAGGGTAACGTCGAATACGCACTAGAAGGCATGTTGGCCGTTGGTGCCGGACTGTCCCCATATGATCGGTCCAGTCTGATAGGTCACTTTGCGCCCGTCTTTGGTGACATACTTGCCGTTGCTCTCCATATCACCCTAAATTCTCCAGTTCCGCCAAAAAAGAGATAAGACCGAGTGTTAAGAGCATGAAAGATGATACGAATGATCTAATCTGACCTGTTGAAAATAATCGGCAAACTTGTGTAGGTACTGATCGTAAGGCAGAAGAGCATGGGTCTGAGCGCCATAAAAGTTATTGTACCTATGTTCAAGAGCTTCAAAGTTAGGTCACGCAACCAGGACGTCCGATATCATGCTTCAAACGACGTGCCATATTCCCAACATGGCTAAAATCACAGGTACGTTCTTCTCCAAAGGGGCTTCCTTGAAATGATTGTCCATGGCATGGGCACCCTGATAAGACCCACCGATCATGTGAAAGTACGTGTCAGCGTACCGCTTGAGACCATATCAAAGAAGAGATATCAGCCAACTCACGTCTAGAACAGCTTTGAAATTATCATAGCCAATATAAAGCGCGATACTCAATCCGATGGCGCTCCAGAGACTATAACGTCCACCAACCCAATCCCAAAACTTGAACATATTTTCCTTCGCAATGCCAAATTCGGTCACCGCCTTCGTATTGGTAGACAAAGCAACAAAGTGCTTTGCGACATGAGCTTTCTGAATTGCAAAATAGGACACAAAAGTCAATATCTGAACGGTTAATTAGGTTCTACCAAGATCGGAGTCTCACATCCTTGGCTGAGGCTAGAAACCAATCTTTTGCACTGGTAGCGTTGGTCAATGTCTCCTGAGTGGTAAAAGTCTTACTGGCCACGATAAATAAGGTGGTTTCAGGGTTACATTTCCTCAAGATTTCGGCCAGATGAGTTCCGTCGATGTTGCTGCAAAAGTACGGAGTGATCGGCCGGTCTTGACCAGCGTAATACGCCAATGCTTCGGTGACCATAACTGGTCCGAGATCGGAGCCTCCGATGCCGATGTTGACAACAGTGTCAATCGATTTACCAGTATATCCTTTGTGAGATCCGCTTCGTACTGCCTCGCTGAATTCGCGTACGTGCTCCAAGACTTGGTGAACCTCGCTAACACCTTCCTCTGCCCCACCGTACTTCTTGCCGCTAGTATCGCGAAGGGCAACGTGGAGAACAGCACGGCCTTCACTGGTGTTGATGTGCTGTCCTGAAAACATCTCATCACGAGACTTTTCCACACCAGCTTGGCGAGCGAGTTCAAGAAGTTTCTCCCAAACATGATTATCGATCAAATTTTTGGAATAATCCAATAGAAGGGTCGTATCGGTGCTTGGGCTTTCAAACTTGGTCGAAAAGGAATTGAAGCGCTGGGGGTCTTGAGAAAAGAGCTGAGAGAGCACGAGGTTCGACTTCTTTTGATCGTAAAGAGACTGAAGTTCGGCCCAAGCTGGGTAGTCTGAAATGTGACAATCTTCGATGAGTTCTTCAAGCGAGAAGATGAGAAGAAAGATGATAAGATACCAGTAGCCAATTTTCCTGCCATGCTGAGGGATGATAAATTCAAAATTGATAGGAATCGTTCCTAGAATAAGTAGAAAACCGTTTGAGAGTGATGCTGTTATTGAATTGGATTTGGTTGGGAATCAGATCGAGAAATCAATGATGATTGTCAACTGAGTTGAGTCAAACCGCAGTGGTATTCTCGGGTCTCTCCGGCTGTCTCCGGTAATTTGAAGCCGGGTTGTGTTGTACCACAAATCTCATGTCACAACTTTCAAAATAAACATGTCACAGCAAGATACAGCCGTTCTTAACAAGGTTGCTTTTTTGCTAGAGTGAAGAGCATCCACAGTGGTCGGGCGCCAAATCAAGGCCCCAAATCGACCAAACCCAATCTAAACGAAAGTACTCACCATTTTCAATTATTCTGTAGTCAATACTCCGAATTTAGGAAACAAATGAGGAACAGACTTCAAGAAAACAAAATCAAAGTAGATTTGAACAGCTCTAAGAAGCTACTAGACACGCCAAAAGCTTTCCCTTATATTGCAAAATGTATCTTAAAAACTGAACACTTTTCACATTTCCACTCTTACACTACAAAAAAAGTGTTCTTTTCTCATGGGATTGGAAAACTTTGAGTGTCACAGAAAATTACACATACTTTTCTTTTTTCATTTGAGATGATCTGCCTTGGGAAACAGCCTTCCAACACCGTAAATGAAATACTATGACTACATTGCTCGTATAAGGACAGCTGTGTCTTTCCAAAGATACATATACAGAGTGGGTGGAGAGTGGAAAACTATGATATACAAAAGATTTTCACTCTTACACCATAATAAGCTGCAAATAAACAACCAATTTTCATGGGTTTTTTTATTGTACTTGTTTCTTCTTGATCGTGATTAACAGAAGAACACAGTGTTGTAATTAAGACTTCCCCACTTGATGATTTTGGAAGAGATTTTTTGAAACAATTGACTTGCTTGTACCCTACAATTCCCTGACAACTGATTCTAACTAGATGCATCGAGTGATTTGCACAGAAAGCTTAGCAAACCACCTGCTCCAGATCATCATCAACAAAGGCCTTTATTTGCAACAAAGGTGCGGTTTTGTTTACCAATTACAATTCAAGACAATCACCAGATCTTGAACTCATAGAGCTGTGATTATTCAATATTTCCGTGTCGTATAATCAAACATACTACACCAGTGAGCTCAAATAGTTGTATATGTATTATTGTTATTCTTTCCTTAATCTAACTTCTCATATGACTTTTCTTTTTCAACAATCAGAAATATGGCCAAGAGGAAATGACCTAAGTCGCCAGTCACCAGTCCCAAGAATGAGGTTACACCCACGGCTCATATGTACATGATGAGGATTGACAGTCAATTATTGCCAACAACTCAAGGACTCAATACTTCCACTCCCCCAAAAGGAACCAACACCACCCACCAGCCATCTAAGGACAACACTTGTCCTGAATCTAGCTCAATGAATTATCTATTCAACTACCCTTTATGGCCCAAGATCCAGACACTACCCAAAACACTCCATGTCTTTCTTTAAAGTGACTTTGACTCCATCACCTCAAAGACTACAAACCTTGACTATTATTGTGTTTTGCACCACTTCAATCCCAAGACTAAGTCGCGCCCTTCTCACACCAAGGCTAAAGTAAAGAAAGACTTTGATGACAACTTAAAGCCACCCTTGCTCCCATTTGCCATGGAGCCACCTAAGCCAGACACGGACACTAGTGAAACATCCCCACCTGATATAGATTTTGATCCGCTTCATTGGCGTACTCCTCGGGCCATGTTGTCTCAAGCCTCCAGGCGCCCAGGGTACTCAATCACATCACACCCCCGAATTGACCAAATATTGATCTTATACAAAGCATTTGTTGATCCCAACCTTTTATTGCCAGTCAACAGAGAATTTTGTCACAAAACCAAATGCCTTACGGCTGATAAGGCTTGTCAAAAGACAATTGAATACTTGTCAGCCCTGGGTACATACGTATGTACCCAAAGACTAACTTGTAAAATAGATAACCACCTTTAGACAACTAATTACATGTACAACAACCTTACAAAACATATGTAGCTTGTAATAAACCATATATACATTCTAATTACATATACATATACATTTAAAATTATATGTAATATGTAATAAAACACTAATTACACCTCATAACTCATTTCAAGAGTTAAAATGCTTATACTACATAAATTACATAACATGTATATGTAATTATGTAGTATTAATAATAATCATAACTAACAATAATAATTAAACCCTAAACCACTGTAGTGATACAAACAAATATCACTACAGTTAGGTTTGGAGAAGAGAGTATATAAACTCCCCCTCTCTCAGCCCTCAGAGATTCCTACCCAAGCAATAATTACCCACTACTTTTAAAGAACAATTAAAGTTCAACTGAAGTAAAAATCAAGAGTCTTATATATAAAATAAGACTAGTGATAAACTTCATCAACTTTAATCAGCTTCCTGATCAAAAGTAGGTAATACAGTCTTCACTCCCCTGTGGATCCTCTACTTCCCCCAAGTAGAAACTCTTTTAGGTTGGTGACCTTCAAACAACCCTTTAATGCTGGCAGTGTACAATTACTTTCAGGTTGGTGACCTTAAGAACAACCCCAAGTTGGTGACTTTAAGAACAACCAGTCTAGTGATATTCACCTCACTCTTCATTCTGTTAATAAAGGTTTGAAGGAAAACCTTGGATCCAGTTTTCATTAATTATAAAATTATTATAATTACAAATAAAATCTCCTTTTAAGGAGTCATTTAACTGTAGTCTGTCTGGGTTTATCCAAACAGACCAGTCCCCCTTCCTCTTTCTCTATCTTTCATATATTTCTTTTGTAATTACCTTATAATTGAAATATAAAAAGTAAATATTCAAACATTACCAACCATCTAGTACCCACTTAGTGAGCCTTGAGTCCTCTTTAGAGCACCCAAACCTCACAATACTTGCACTTTGCGCTGCAATGTCATGCTCCACATATATTTGTGCGCTCCGTCTCACTTACACATCCGTTCTTGTTGGACTTGTACAGTGCCCTCCAAAAATTTTATGTACAGTGCACATCTGCTCTGTATGTAGGGTCACTAGCAGCTCAGCGGTGGGCGCCGCGGCTAGGGATTTTTATTTTTAGGTAGGCTAGACGGCTTAAAATTGGCCAGTGGCATTGCACTTGACATACTTGTTTCAACCAGTTTCATTTGTTATGTGGTAGTGCAAATGTAGTTCCTTTCATCCACAGTAGTGTACAGGTTTATTTAGTTGAATTATCCAGCTCCCACTGTTTTCCATGTTCCGTCTTCTTAGCTTAGTTGCCAATTATATTGCTCCTGCTTTGCCAAGTCCTAATTTTGAGTTTTGGCAATGATCACCCGCCCTGCCAAACGCACAATGACATCTTTGAGTTTGAGACAATTTACTTCTGTGTTCTTGCGAGTCTGGTCAGCTCTACAGTGTTTTGTTCACAAGGATATGTTACTACCTTGACTTGCTTCAATTCCAACTTCAACAGTTTTGTTTCCTTCTTCAACATCATCATCATTCTGATCAGTTCTTTTCCTCTCAGAATTAGGTATCATAACAGAAATAAGTGAAGATCTATGATTTAATTGATTTTGTTTAGAAGATGAAGGATTGAATGACTTAGAAGGGGAATAATTTGGAATTAAAACACATTCAAGTTGACTACTTTTACTTCTTCTTTTTGTTGAATGTGGATGATCTTGATTTGTTGTGATGCCATTTGACCAGTCACTTTCTAAAATTTCATTTGTTCTCCCTTTTTTGATAAGTGTAGGTTTCTAAGTAGCTACTTTTGACCTTTTCACTGCTTGTTATTTACTTTGACTTGTCACTTTCTGCAAGCTTTGCCGCATGTTTGATACCTATCATTCAAGTTAAAGGTAAACCTTGTTCACCAGCAAAGCCTGATTAAACTCCCGATCCCTACTACCGATTTCCAGGTTTACACGTCCAACACATTTTAATCTGAATTCCATGCGCCTCACCCCAAATACGTTTGTCATTCCTCTCATCAGACTGAGTCAACTATCAATCCATTTAAACAGATTCATCAAACTTTTAACAGAACAAATCAATTTGAAATGCAAAATCAAGCTCCAATGAGCTTCATTCAATCTCATTGAACGTAAAATCAACCAAATTCTGAAACCATTCCCAAACCAAATTAATCATATTCATCACAATCAACTAACCAGTGTGCAAGATCCCTCAAGATAACAAGTCATGATACATCTCAACCCTAAAAACCCATTGGTATCTTTACTTACTCAAGATGCATTGACCATTCATGAAGCGGTTACTGGGTGGGCAGCTGTAGCCAAAAGAACATCAGGCAAAGTTCGCATCCTAGACCTCAAACAGAGCAGGGTCAAGGAATGCATCAATTGGGTTCAAGCTGTCACAGAAATCAAAGACGCCTTAATCAACATATTTCAAGCAATCAAAAAAGCTAATTGGGAAGCTGCTACACGACATATCCAATGTTCCAATGGAATCAATCAAGAAATGATTTGTAGCCAATTTGCAGAAGCAGTGGTGGTAAGCGATTTTATAGAGTCTTACTGAAGACAAAATGAATGCCCCTTATATGTTTATTTTCTCAGCCTACGACCCATATCCCTGAACCACCTTTGATTGCTTCAGAAAACTTTACAAACCAATTAACTGGAATCTTTTTGAAGGCTTTCACTCAGGCTGCTAATTCAAAAGATGAAGCTACTACTACTTGATCCTTTAAACTCTTTCCACTTTTAGGGTCTAACACATCCAAGGCTGGATTAGCATCTTACTCAGATTTTGTCCAAACATTAATCAGCCTTCCTCAACCAACTCGAACAGGGTCATCACATCCTAAAACATGTCTTCCTCAACTAACTTCACTCTTTGAACAACTGGCTCTAATCATCAATCAACATCAACCAATAGTAGACAAGTATCATGGTCCTTGCTCGACGGTCACTGTTGTTACCCAGCTTAATATGGAACTAGATTGGAATGACAACAGGATACTATTGAATTGGGAGGAAGATTGGCAACCTCAACGCAAAATGAATGAAATTTCAAACTACACATTTCCAGCACTCAATCAACTTCGTACTACTGACAATACAATTCATAACCCTTTATCAAGCTCGATCATCTCTAACCTCAATGACTCTACTCCCACAACTTCATTTGCATCCTCATCAATCAATTTGCCGGTTGGACTTGAAAGTTCTTTGCGATCTTTTTCTGGAAACGTTCAACACACTTATAATTTACAGCCTTTCCTGAGCGCGATGTCTGGTGCTTCAAATGTCACCGCTGCTTTTATTGATAACAAGATGCCCGATTTGAAAGCAATCAATGATATCATCACCGAACTGACGGGTATGAGTAGACAATGACAAACATACAGGAGGTTTTGGTATGCACAGTTTGGTGATGAAGAGCAGGAGCTGCAAGATAATGGTACTCAGGAAACTGTTCAAAATCCAGCTGATCCAACACAGCCCTCATCCCCAAAACTTACTCCTGTATCAGTTGAAAGGAAGTGACCCGAGGAGATGTGTCATACAGCAGCATCTTTATCCGTAAAGAAGTTGAAGAAGGAAAAAGCTGTTTGAATGAATTGAGACTTGTTCAATCAAACTTTTCCACAATACAAAAGTAAGTGGTTGCCTAAATCATGATAGGATCTCCTTGTTAATTTCCTCACTGATCTCAATCTCTCCACTCTGTAATCATAGAATGGATTGGAACAACTCTTTACCCAATTGATTCAACCTAGGATCAGACCATAATAACAGATTGTTATAAGGACATAACTTAGAATAGGAACGGTACACTGGAGCCAAATCCCATGATTTTGTTTGCAAACAATCTATTCAAGCCTGGGAATCTTTGATTAAACCATATTGGGTAAGAAACTTTCCATTGGTTCAATGACATTGATATGATTGACTTTGACCTCTTTTCTCATACTTTGTATACATATGTTTCTTTGGCTAGATGGGTCTTACACCAAACAGCTTTCATCAACTCTTCTCAGCAATGATCAATATGCTTTCAAGACCATGGGAAACTCAACTCCAAAATATGAAATTTACAGAATTAGGATCCATAAGCTGTTACTCAGTTACCTTTCTTAATTTAACCCAGTTCAACTGTCATTTATCACCTCAGAACAACAGAAGTGAATGGATGTCTCTCTGAAATTACAAGCATAAAAGTAAATGATGAAATGACTTTACATCATTTTCTTCATCACAGTTGTACTTTTCATTCTGAAACTGTAAGCTGAGATGATTCAAGTCAACACCATTCATACAAATAAGAAGTGATTGCAGATGAGGCGTTGAGCTTATTCACATCATGCAAACCCATTTAATTCCTCCAGCAGATGCTATCATTGACTCAAAAGTGACTAATTTCAAAACTTAAGCTGATTATTATGCCAACCCCATCAGCCCATTGAGAGAGCAAAAGGGTAGCAATTTGGCAATGGAGACTTTTGGAAGTCTTTATTGGAAATTAAACACAAGATGGTGTAGAACATACACAGGAAGTAGCTTTAGGGTTGAGATCACTCAGAGATGATTTTTGAGAGCCTTGGTACCTAACACTCATGAGGATGCTGTGTACAGGCACTCTCAATACTACTGTACCTATACAACTTGAACCTGTTCAAATTAGATCCATTTTCTTCTTATTCAACTTCTTATTGTATTTCTAGAAAAAATAAAGCTGAACATTGAAGTCCGATCAATTGTGGGACTTGCATAGTTTCTGAATCACAGATCCAATACATATGGCTAATTAGTACCCTAATTCATAACAAGGTACCTAAGTACAGCCAGTATTGTCTCTCACATTGGTAATACATATACCTTGGTATTCTGTCAAAAAAACTGTTGGGTGTGTATATCTGTCATTCACAATCATTGATAGGTGGGTTATTGATATACATTGGTAAGTAAGGTTTTGATAAAGTCAATCACAAAACTCCATCTTTGCTGATTCATATGAATTCTTTCAAAGTGATTTCTTGAAGATTCATCCCAAGATCAATCATGGTGGGTATTGTGTCACTTAGAAGATCTACAATAGATGCCATCCACATAATGTGATATTCTGAACGCGGCGCCTGCCGCTGATGTGCTAGTTAATAATAAACATATACATATCAGAATCATTTTCAAATATAAAATCAGTATTCATAACAGGTCAATGGCAGTGTACTCAATTGGATTTTTGGCCATAATTCAAATCAATTGTTTAATATAAGTATGATAAGGATCCCAGGATTTAATACTTAATCTTGCTCCTCTAATGACATGATAGTAAAACCCAATAATTTTGAAACCTTTAAAAAATGATCTTCGGAATCAATTTCTTCATTTAAAAATAAACCAAATGACTTTTTTCAAAAAAAAGTATCATTACATCAGCAATAAACTTCATGCCCAATTTTATCTTTCCAGAGAATCAAAAAAAGAGAAACCAATATTCAAGGAAGTCAAAAAATCAAACTAAGGGCCCGTTTGGCTGGTTTTCCAAAAATTTGTTACACAAAAACAAATTTTCAATCTGCCCTTTATTACACTTCACCAAACACTCAACCAAAGAGCTTATCAAAAGTTTGAAATAGAGGGGCAAATGGAGGCAAAACCTCTTTTTGATCTCAAAAACAGCCTCAGGGCTGTTTTTCAAAATTGAAGATTTTTTGATCAAAAACGGTTTTTGCACCGCCAACATAGATGCCTCGGATTGAAAAATCCGAGGCATCATCGGATGGAAACCCTCGGACAGGTCTTGTCCGAGGATTTGATCCGAGGTATTTTTTGACGCAAAATAATACCTCGGATCAAAACCTCAGAAAGATTTTGTCCGAGGATTTGAGTCCGATGATACCTCGGATTTTTCAATCCGAGGCATCTTTGTTGGCTGTGTTGGTCTTGATCGACTGCCATTGCCAAACACTGGTCTTTTTTTCAAAAACCATTTTTTTTCCATCTAAACGGGCCCTAACCTCTTTGAAACTTTCCAAAACAGTTTTAGTCAACTTGTCTTTTTTCCTTGTGAATTTTTTTTTCATTTCCGAAACAAAATTACGGAATGCGAGGTGTGTCAAAGTGACAAATCAAATTTCAAAAAGTGAATTTCAGATCCCCGGGTCAGAATTGACAAAACTGATTAAACATCAGATTCACCCAATACTGGTCTGAAACCGCCT